ATTGCAGAAACGCAGACCTATTTCTAAATTTTATCAAAATAGTGACCTAAACTACTAAAAACAGTAAATTGAGTTCAAAAGATCCCAGAATAGTACCGTTTACCTAACTGACCGAATTATCTTGGAACTTGGACTAAAAATATACCTACTACAATTTATGAATTAATCCCAGGTAATTACTTATTTAGTGTACCATTTAAGAGATGTACAGTTAAATGTCATGTTATACGTTATAAGTAAATTACGGGTATAATAACATCTTTTCTTAGTATAAAATCCGATTTTACGTTATTAAATCATAAAACCTGCTATACAAAATAGCGGTTAGAAGCTGAAAATGTGAGAATGTTACTGTATTTATATAATTTATACGAGAAATAGGTGTTTGCAAAACTCTCCGCAACATAGTCCAGGCAAGTTAGACCAAAATCACCCAGAATACGGCAATTTTTTTCTGATGAACCGATCGAGTTGCGGTTTTCGGCATTGTCTTCGGAAAAATATCAGGAAAAAAGTATATATATTGCACTTTGGGGCTGGATCGAAACTACATTGCGGGTGCATAATATGCATCTTGGAGTGCATCAATTTTTCCAAATTTTCTAAAAATGGTAAAAATTGACTAAAAGTTGTAGAAATTTGTGTGCACGGGTTTTTTGACCCTGAAAAATATACCCAACGGCCCTGGTGCCTCCCAGGGGGGCAAGCTGAGTAATTGCCTTCTAAATCCCCACCCGGGGGTTTTTGGGGTCGGGGATTTCGATTATGACACTGAAACATATGTCCGACGCTCCAGGCCCCCCCCCCCAGGGGGCAAGGGGGGCCTTCTGTAAAACACCGAATAGCTGAGTAATTGCCTTCTAAATTTCTACTCGGGGGTTTTCGGGGTCGGGGGATCCGAATCTGACACTGGAAAATATCCATTAATATTAGCTTGTCTAACACTGAGAAAAATTGTCGTAGAATTGGAGAAATCCTGGACAATCCGTTCCCAAGAGACACATTTCGTTAAATCAAAGAAATATTCCTTCAAAGAATATTTCATGGATCATGGATTTTCAAAAGAATCTCTTGGGCCCGTGCGACTGCGGATAATGCATAACAATTCCCGACAAAATCCGATTATCGACAATGCAGATCTTGTGGGTGCAGGAAGCATGGAATTACATGCACAACTGTTCCAATCTTGAAATAGTCGAAAATGTAATATAGATGATAGTGATGATGAAAATTGTGATTGATAGTGAAAGTGTTAGATAAACATATGATAGTAGTTGTCTCACTAATTGCCTTGCAAATAAAAAGAAAATTGGTTCTCAGAATAAAGTGGATTCTTTTCGACTCATTAATTTCCTGTTAGTTTTTCTTACCCTTCTTGTCTAATCTCTGTAAATTTGCGTGTGTTACAATGTAACATATAAGCCTACAAGATCATGGTTGGTAAGCGGATGGAGCAGTTTTATTGCAAAAATCTGCCTGTCGATGTTTTCCAGAAAGCCCACCCCACGGACGTCGTGCATACTTTTTAGTGTCAGAATCAGAATTCCCGACCCCAAAAACCCCGAGTGGAAATTTAGAAGGCAATTACTCAGCTATTCGATGTTTTACAGAAACCCCCCCTCACCTCTGCCCCCACTGGGGGCTACAGGGGCGTCGGGCATACTTATCAGTGTCAGAATTGAAATCCCCGACCCCAAAAACCCCCGAGTGGAAATTTAGAAGGCAATTACTCATCTATTAGGTGATTTACAGAAGGCCCCCCTTGCCCCCTGGGGGGCCCCAGGGGAGTTGGACATACGTTTCACTGTCAGAATCGAAATCCCTGACCCCAAAAACTCCCGAGTGGGGATTTAGAAGGCAATTACTCAGCTATTCGATGTTTTACAGAAGGCTCCCCCTTGCCCCACTGGAGAGCCCCAGGGCCTTCGGGCATATTTTTCAGGGTCAGATTCGGAATGTCCGCCCCCGAAAACCTAATTTCTACAACTTTTAGTCAATTTTTACCATTTTTAGAAAATTCGGAAAAATTGATGCACTCCAAGATACACTTTATGCACCCGCAATGCAGTTTCGATCCAGCCCCAAAGTGTAATATATAGACTTTTTTCCTGATATTTTTCCGAAGACAATGTCGAAAACCGCAACTCGATCGGTTCATCAGAAAAAAATTGCTGATTTATTGTCTAATTTGCCTGGTTTAACAGTAACATAAAGAAAAAGGGATAGATATGCTAATTAAACTTTTTGATGTACTTTTTTTTCTCTAATCTGTTTTATAATTTTCTAATCTAATCTTCGGTAGCTTTTAACAATAACAACAAATACTGAAATATCAGTACAAAATTTATTGAAAATATGATTTTTAAGTTTCAGTGTAGAAATTTGTTTTTTTCACGACTTGAGAAAGTAGTTCAAGTATTTAAAGCTAAATGATGCTATATTAATCTTGTTAATAATTATGAGAACTCAGGTCAGAAAAGAGAAAATCAAATACCTTATTCAGAAGTTTATCAAGTCTAAAAGTGTTTACCTGTTGGCTTGGTTGACTAATAGGATACATTTTAATATTAAAGGAAGTAAACAGGTGTACTCATAATTTAATTATCTGAACAGATGAATATTCACTATGGTATTCGCCTAATTAAACAATTATTTCGAAACATATATGACATCTTCCCATGAAACAACTTCTTTAGTCTTTACCTGAATTTATAACTTACTGCTATTAAAATTTGAAAGATAATTTGATTAAGTTATCGAGTTTTTATTTTTTTTCAGTAACTATTTCGATGACGAACACATAGTTTCAGTTACCTTTATTTGTTTTCGAGAACTTCTATTATCGAAATTTAAAAGTGATCTTTTTATATACCGAGTGATTCAGTGATTCGCGGCATCGTATCTCTTATATTTTAACAAATACTTAGCTATAATAAACCCTATATATTTTTATATCGCCGCTCAAACTCTATCAAATGACATTATTAGATCGTCTCTATAGTAACATGTCAAAATTGCTATAGTCAACTGTTTTTGTTCAAATAACTATAATTAATAACTATATTTTTTTTTATTAATTCTGGAAAATATTTTTTTCTGCCTTCAGCTATATAAAGAAGTCTATAGTTTCCTTAGAAACATTGCTAGAAAAACAGGAAAAAAGATGAACCCTACTTTCAGTAGCTTTATTCTGAAAAATAATAGCCAGCTGCGAAACCAACTGAAGTTTGACGTTTCTAAATAACGGTTTGTCAAAATAATTGACATTTTGTACCCTACATATTCTATCTACAACTAATTATAACATGAATACTTACAGTAACCTAGAAAAACTAAATATGATTTTAATTTATGGAGATGGCCGAAAGAACGCTGAAGCTGCTAGGTATTTATACCAACATCGTTTTCCGCAGAGATAACTTCAGATACAATTTTCGGGAAGGTGGCCAGGAATTTGGCTGCAAATGGAAGTTTTCAAAAGAAAAGAAGAGTTTTTAAACCCAGAAGGGCACTCCTATAGATTTCTTTCTTTGGCATTACCCAAATGATACTGACGACCATAAACACAGAATAAGAGTAGAATGCCGGGGATTAAATGAAGAAACACTATTCTGTGTTTGGAAGCAAATGGAGGTCATTTTAATTTAATTTAAAAATATATAGGGTTTGTTATAGCTATTAGTTAAAATAAAAGAAATAAAGGGCCGCGAATACAAAACTAAATCACCCGGTATATTGTAAAGTAATTAATTCGTATATTTTCTTGCTCAATGCTACAATGTAATACTGTTTAACATATGATGTGTTAACGACAAACAATTCAGCAGTTCCAAATAAAGTAATTCTTAGGATATTTTCTACTAATTAATGAATGGAGAGAATACACTTTCTTTACGAGAAAGTTGGCAGTAATGGCGCATTAATAAAAATTATTGTTGCCATATGCCACCGTTACTTTAAGGACTTTTTGTGTGGACACTGGTATTTGATTCTCGTCATTGATTTGGATTGTGCTAAATTTCTTAAAATGTTTTCAGGATAGTACATCACAAAATAAGACTAGGTATTGTATAAAAACTGTTTTTGAAAATAAAGGAAGATATAATCGATTGAAAGGGGGTGACAACTACAGTGTTTTTCGATATTTTGAAACTATTTAGATATATATTATTTATATTTTAAATTTATACTTAAGCATCTGGACGTTAATTTATACAGTATTGTTCAATTATCAAATAATTTTATAGTGTTAATCGCCTTCCTCGGTATCTTATTATCCTTATAACACCCTTGATACCTTAATTACTGTTACGGAAATGTTTTATTATGTATGAGATATTATTTTTGTATAATCTATAATTTTTCAAAAATTTGTACATTGAAAAATTTAATCGCGCCGAGTGTAACAAATAGCATTAAGTAGCAGAGTTGTAATATTGATATACAAAATTATATAAATTACACGTATCCAATTACTACATTTTAATTCTAAATATTCTAGTATTATTTAATTATATTTGCCATTATAGTTATGGTACGTAACTGAGAACAGAAGAGAATGTTTGATATAAAAAATAATATAAAAACTATGCCTATAAATTTTTTTAATTAGGTATCTTTCTAATAACACATTGTTCATTTTTGTTTGCCTGACAGATTCTTATATTCTATATTTAGCTTAGGCTAAATATTTAGTTATTGCAATGAAACCAACTTTTTGGAGATTTCTGTAATTTATTTGTTGAAACAGTACAGAATTTTTTTTTAACAACAACCATGCATTGGGAATACTTAGACGTAAATTTCGTAAATACAAACAAAGTTGGATTTTTTTCAATATCGGAAATTTTTTCCAGACAATTCAAATTATCTTTATAAAGTGGCTAAAGTTTTATTTATGTCTTAGTAAAGAAAATTAATTTAAAACTGTTTTCCGTGTTTAATTTTTCAAAGCCGGTCTATCAATTTGCTTTTTTGGAAATATACCAAAATGTACTTACATAATTCGATCCAGAAATAGAAGAACCTAAGCCAAGATAGATAAAATCACTATGATGATCGGTAGTAAGCACTAGGAGTTGTTTTCAACTAGTGACAGTTGAACACGCGACTCGAAAATATATCGGAGACTGTGGCGGACACAGTCAGACTGAACAGCTTCGTGAGCCCCAGAGGTTCAGAGCACACTGACCGACTTTCGAAAGAGGTATTCCCAAACTCTCGGTGAGAGTAGACCCGCGTCACGAGGCTTACCACCAAGTGCCTGCATCCGGGAGTCCTCTTCTCAGAGTTCGCCGTCGAATTCAGCAGAAGGAGGTGGATTAGAAATTTTGCTTGTAATCTTGAGAATTATCCGAGATCATTACTATTCTACTTAGAATAAAATCGGATTAACGTGCTTGTTAGGTATGGAACATGTACTTAATTCTCAACTTCCTACGATAATATTTGTAGCTTTACATGATTGTATGAATGTATTGTATAAAAGCGGTCATATAATTTAATGGCGTTCGGCCAAAATTTTCGAGATTGAAAATAGTAGATAGGTTCTGTTAAAAGAGACCCAGATTATTTTCTTGAATGGTGAAATATGTGCTTCAAATTATTCTATGATATTGTGTCCTTGTTTGCTGTAAATATTAAAAGTTGAAGGAACTAATAGTAGAATAAAAAGTACTTAGCCTTAGACGAAATATTTTATTGAATCTTTCATTCTGTCATATTAAAACTGTTTCGCTGACTGTTTAATCCTAAACATCATATGTTATTTTTAGTCTATTTTTGAAGGTATTAAGCTAATTTAAATTAATTAAAAATGCTTTTCTAAAAAATGTATCAAATCATTAGATGATAATTAAATATATATATATTTTATTATTTGTTTTGTATTGTAAGATTGGAGTTTTTCGTAAGAAGAACAAAAGGGTTGAAAAGGGTGCGAAGGGTGGAAATCGGTTGTTGATTATTACGTTAACAACATGAATATTTGTTATCTGTCTTGAGGGCGTAAATATATGTGTAACTAAAGAAAAATGTAAATACCTCAGACAAATATCCTACATGACCTATTTTTGAAAACACACCTGAGCACCCTATTATCTTGTTAATAGATGTGTCAATGATTATTGTACAATCAATAAGCAACTGCGATACTACTTTTCACCAAACTCTTTTATACCGGGTGTCTCATTTTAAAAAATACACGTCAATATCTCGTAAGTTAAGGGCTTAATGAAAAAATTTTTCAAATAAAAGTTGTAGGGTTTTGAGGGGGACATCTAATGGTGACCTTGACCATGACCTTCTAGGTCATTTCAAGGTCAAGTTGATTTTTTCAAATGGAAACATATTTTTGACACCAGAAATGAAAAGAGCAGAAAAGTTTACATCCAACTATGACCTTTACCGTGACCTTCAAGGGCATTTGAAGGTCATTTGAAGGTGATTTTAGTTTTTTTGTTGCAAAATATGAAGTCAAAATTTGAAAATATTCAAATCCAATATGGCCGATCAATTTTTGGTAAACATTTTTAATATTTATATGGATTGAAAATGCTTCAACCTACGTTAAAACTCAAGGTCGAGACGATTATACGACATATTGGATCCGCCGTATCGGATTTAACTATTATTAAATTCTGAGCTAGTCTGAGTTCAAAAACATTTGAATAAAAAATGCATGCCGCAAAGGGTTAATGGGTATTCTGGAAAATTATGGCGAGCCCCACATATCAAAAAGAAAAATATGAACAAGGTTAAAGTTTTGCCTGCAAAATACTAGAACGACCTTCAAATCACTTTTGAAAGTTAAGGTCATGATCAAGGTTATATCCGGAATCAAAATTCTCCGCACTTTCTATTTTGGTCTGAAAGATACCGGTTTCTATTTCAAAAATTAACTTGACCTTGAAATGACCGTGAAGGTCAAGGTCAATGTCATAAATGGACGTGAAATGGCCCGCTCTTCTCATTTCTAGTCTCAAAAATAAAATTTTCTAACAAAAACTAAAATGACCTTCAAATGACCTTGAAGGTCATGGTCAAGGTCGTAGTCGTATGAAAATTTTCTGCTCTTTTCTTATCTGGTGTCAAAAATGTGTTTCCGTTTGAAAAAATCAACTTGACCTTGAAATGTCCTTCAAGGTTATGGTCAAGGTCACCATTAGATGCCCCTCTCAAAACCCTACAACTTTTATTTGAAAAATTTTTTCATTAAGCCCTTAACTTGAAGAGATATTCACGTGTATTTTTTAAAATGGGACACCCAGTATATTAATCATCTAAACAGATCTAAACATTTTCATACTGTTATTGGCACCCTTCCCGGTGTCAACTCTAGGTCTGCAATGTCTTGTGGCTCCGATTAGCCTCAGGACACCCTCCCGACTAACCCACCACCACCGGATGTTAATGCATGCAAAGGGCGAACTCACGATGCAGCTCATTCGAGTACCATTACAAACACATCACAAAACGTACACAAAAACAGTATCCACGGATGTCTACACTGTCAGTACTGACGAGTCGATAAATGTCATTAAATATTACTAGTAACTGGCCAATCAACTGTGCAGATTACCAATTCATCAACAGTTACTAACACATAATAATTCTTTCTATAACGAACCTTATTGTTACTCGAATGACATACAAGGTATATCTCGAAATATGACTTTACTAATCTATGCAAAGGAGAGTTAATTATTTCTTCTTAATAAAAATAAATACTTCTCATTAAAATCGGCAACGTAAATTTATGAAACGATACTAACTAACAATTATTTTCAAGACCATATATAATAGCAGTATTCAATATACTCAGTGATAAAACTTTCAGTATAAGATTATTAATACTAGATACCTATGATCCTATGAATGCCCAGAAAGAAAACTCAGGAGTTAACCTAGTATTTCTAATAAATAGGTATGCTCAGTGAGAATACTCCTATTACCATTATTTTCACCTCACAGTTTAGGTAAAGGGAACTGTATGGAATTTGTAACGTAAACAAAACCAATGAGCGTCAACTAGCCACTTGAGCTGTTCATAAATACCAGACGCCTACACGCTGTTAGGTGAATCCCTACAAAGATTATTCAAATACAAAAAAAATCTAAAAAATGTTACGAAACAAAGTCAAATCATATTCGATATCAGAAATCTAAATAGGCAAAGAATATCTAACCCACAGACAAGAGTACTGATATTGCGTGAAATAACTAATCTTTATCATGAGTCAAGAATCATGTTTACGACTTTAGAAATCTTTTGCGTACCTACCATAATTTTTGATATCGAAAAAAATCGTATGATATATCTAATTATGGAATCAGACAAAAACAACATTGCGAAAATACATTATTGGAAATCTAACAATAAGATATGTTAGATGAGATGCATACATAGACCACCTAGACTGGCTTATAGAGCGACTTTGGAGCCTGATTTGGAGCCCAGCGTTCAGTCGTGTCCTAGCATTTGACGTGTACGCATCGCTGTGATTTCGATAATTAGACGTTTTATCATGGGCAAGTGTATTGTAAAACATTGTATAAATAGAAGTGATCGAGTTGGTGAAGAGAGGCGAAAAGTTTCCTTCTTTAGGTAAGTAAAAAAAAGGAATATATAAAAGGTAAATATGTACGCCATTTTTCGGTTAACGTCACAAGTTTCTAGGGTTAGCTTTATAATTTTGTTCCCCACATAGTGTAGTGATTAACGTGGTATTGTTATTATAAAATAACGAATGAATTACTGTAAAATATTTTTAGTCATTATTTACTTTAAGAGTCTTAAATTTTTATGAAATTTTACCAATTCCCGTCATTTCGATATAGCTGAAAATTAATTATATATTTTTTTCAATTAAAAAAAAAATGCAAACAAAACTAATTTCAGATTCAGTATTCGTACAGTCAATTAATTTTTATTAAAGATCGTGGTTGTTTGACGTATCCATCTCGAGATGTCGTAGTAATATGCTAAGAAACAGAAAAATTAATAAAATTTTTAAATAATTATGAAAGCAGAACACCTAGGCTACAGAAAAATAAAGTTGTTTATCATGTATTAAAAAACTTTCTGAATGTGAACATATTTGAAAATTTGCATGAACATCAATTTGATAATTTGCCTAACAATTATAATCATTTAATAGAACTTGTAAGGGCTGAATGTGAAAAGTATATCGATGTACGAATAAATCAAATTATTTAATTCGGTAAAATCTACGAAAAGACAAATATTAAATAAATTAATATTATTTAGAGGAAAATAAATATATTTAAATTATTTTGTAGTTTGATTTAATATGACACTAAAATATACTATTTTCTGAATTACAAACTTAAAATTGAATATTTGTCATAAGATGCAATATAATGTTTAATATGTAATAAAAATATTACTTAATCCGGATCTGCTTAAAGATGCGCGCGATCAGATTGCCTTCCGCACTCCACTTCCCCGGATTTTGCATTCACTGGTACCCGTGCATTGGAATGAGATACGGCCAGTCTAGGTGGTCTGTGGGTGCATACTATATAGTTTAGTATAGTATAGGCAACACATCTTACATAAATATTAAATTGACAGTCGGTTTAGGTAAAGAAAGATCAATATACATATGAGGAAATTTGTAAATAGTAAGTATACTCAATACTAAAGAAATCTAATTGAGTTTTTAATACAATAAAATAAAATAGAGTGGGTATCTCACAAATTATCTAATTAATAATTATTGGATATAATATCTTACTAAATAATTGTTTATTACTTTTTTTTTTAATTTACACTGTTTCTTAATATTAGAGCTGTACTCTTAACTAAAATAGAATATTTAAAATTTTTCTCCTCACATTTAACATTCGTTTGAGTGTAATGAAAATATACACCGTGTCCACCTAGTGTGCGTAAGTCCAATATCTACGTTAATAAAATATATAACTAAATTTTTTTTCTACAGAGTTACCTACTTTCTCGAGCTGCACAAAATGAAAATATATTTGCATATACAGGATGTTCAGTTTTTCCTGGACAGGTATCAACTTAATTTTTTTAAATGGAAACCTATATTTTTTATGGCATTATCGAATTCTTCGTGAAAAATTAATGGGACATTGTGTTATGATCCCTATTAAATATTGATAGTTTTCGAAATAATCGACTTTTCATTTTCTTTCTTATGTTTCGTCACTTCTAGTAGTTGACATAATTATGATTGTATGACAGCTAGAAATTTTTTTTTTTCAGGAACTATAGAGTGAAGATGGCTCTTTCAAAAAACGTATCAAAAGTTGACCTGCGATATACAGGGGGCAAAAAAAATCGTGCCAAACCTGTTAATTTAAAATTTGAAAAATCTCGACTTTTTCAAATAGAACGCCCTGTGTTTTATGATTTCATTAGATGCCTTTCTGTAGACCCTACAATTTTAATAGCTTTCCATATACCTAAGTTGCGTAGTTTTTGCAAAAGATCCATCTTTATGTACCTAAAATACCGGATTTGCGCCCGTATATTTATTTTTATTAAATTTATTAGTTGTCTAGCTACACTATTTAAAATAAAAATTAATAACTGAAAAATTTAGATATTTGAGTTTAATGAATAAGTCTTTAAGGAAAGTTAACATTTATTTGTAAATAAAATCAAAAAACCATAAGTGATTAAGAATTAGCCAAAATATGGGAAATGTTTACTAGCAGCACGTATTTACAAAGCAAATAATCCAAATTTACAGAGATTCTCACTGTTTTGAAAATGTGAAGGAAAGGTTTGAATGAACAGCAAATGCGAATTATGAGCAAACTACCAGGAGACATGAAAGTAACAACGATAATAATATTTAGTTTAAAGTTGTGGCGTCTGCTGTTGAAAATCCAAATATTAGTGCCACGAAATTAGTAGTAACCTTGGAGTTTTCAAAAGCTTGACAAATAAAATATTGAAGAAGTTTCATCTGTATCATATTGAAAATCAAGCATTGTTACGTTACCGCAGTGAAATTGGAGATTAAAAAATTTGAATGAATAGAATTTTGTAAAAAGAATACTCATAGTCGCAAGCTAACCTAAAATAAATGTTTAAACTGTGCACCGTTGTTCTCTACACAAAGTATTGATCTACGATGAAAATGAATGTGGACATTTCTTAACATTTGAGGCGTTATAGTTAGAAACTCGTTTTGAATGGTGGTACTTCGTATACTCGCTCCTTGATATAACCCCACAAAAAAAAGTTCAGACTATTTAAGTCAGGCGAACGTGAGGGCCAAGGAACTGGACCACCACGACCTAATCACTGGTTTGGATATACGTGATTTAGGTGTTCTCGAACCTGAAAGATAAATAGGTAATAGGAAAAGTATAATAACAATAAAATAATTACATTACAGCCAAAGGAACGGGCGCAAATCCGGTATTTTACATAAAAATGTTTTTTTTTTGCAAAAACTACGCAACTTAGGTATAGGGAAAGCTATTAAGAAATTGTAGGGTTTACAGAAAGGCATCTAATGAAATCATAAAACACAGGGTGTTCTATTTGAAAAAGGCGAGATTTTTCAAATTTTAAATTATCAGGTTTGGCACGATTTTTTTCCCCCTGTATATCGCACGTCAACTTTTTATACGTTTTTTGAAAGAGCCATCTTCACTCTACAGTTCCTGAAAAAAAATAATTTCTAGCTGTCATACAATCATAATTATGTCAACTACTAGACGAAACATAAGAAAAAAAAAATGAAAAGTCGATTACCTCGAAAACTATCAATATTTTAATAGGGATCATAACACAAAGTTCCGTTAATTTTTCACGTAGAATTCGATAATGCCATAAAAAATATAGGTTTCCATTAAAAAAAAATTAAGTTGGTACCTGCCCAGGAAAAACTGAACACCCTGTATATGCAAATATATTTTCATTTTGTGTAGCTCGGAAAAGTAGGCAACTTTGTAGAAAAAATTAAGTTATATCTTTTATTAACCTAGATATTGGACTTACGCTCACTAGGTGGACACGGTGTATATGAAATGTTTATTTGCTTTTCTCGCAGATATAAATTGAAAACTATATATCTTTCATATCACCACTTGAAAGAGTATATCCATACATTTTTTTTTGTTTTCTAGAATAGACATATTAAATACATGTACTAAATCATCAATTTTCTGTCCACAAGAAACAATTGCTTCTAGTGCTTTTGGTAAGTCACGCTTGCAGGCAATAATTATAGGTGATTCTCCTTTCTTATTGACACAATTGACATCTGCTTTATGTTTTAGTAATAAACGAATAATTCCAACATTGTTCCTTCTAACTGCATGATGCAAGGCAGTCCACTGGTTACAATCACGTTCGTCTATTTTGGCACTGTTAGCTAACAGCAATTTGACAATGTTTATATGACCCCAACTACTAGCTTTCATCAGTGGCGTCTTTCCATAATCGTCACTGCAGTTCACAGTGACTTTCCAATCTATTAACTGTTTTACACAATTCAAGAATCCCTTTGATGCTGCAAAGTGCAAAGCAGACTTATTGTTACTATTATAATGATCAGTGTTAGCACCATTAGATTGTAGCACTCTAGCAACGTCGATTTTCTTGAATATAACACTTATGACAAAGGGGGTGTTACCATTACAACATTCAGAGTCGATGTGAAGACCTGGAAAATTTTGAATAACCTCTCTTACCCATTTTTCTTGGCCTCGACGTGCAAGGAAATACAAATGACTCTGACCTTGCAAATTCTTTTTGTTTAGGACATCTACGTCAAGGTCTGCTTGGTTAAAGAAGTATTCTAGGATGTTGTCATCGTTTTTGTTACATGCAATGTGTAAAGGAGTGTTTCCTTCACTATCTACTCCCCAGTCATTGAAACAGTGGATTTTCGTTAATTTCATTATAGCCTCTAGGTTTCCCGAAGTAACTGCCAAGTGGAGAAAACTCATTTTAGAACATCCAATCTGAAATTATAAATGAATAATAATGCAAAGAGGAATGATTGCAAAAGTTTTTCAATATTAATCAGAATGGCTGGTTATGTAACGTAAACAATTATTAAATGATATCAAAAATTTTACCTTTACGTTATTTAAACCTTTTACATCCAATGTAAAAAGTATATTGTTGTATCTATTCTTTATACTATGAAACAACAAATGAAGCTTGATATTTCTCGATAGTGATAGTGATGAATTTGCTACCTCATTTCTTATATGTAATAGCGTATCTAGTTCTAGTAGTGACCCTGACAGCATTGCGTAGTCAACAGAGTCCATTTCAAGTAAAGTATCTTTTTCCAAAATGCCTATTACACATTCTAAAAAATAGTTTTTTGATATTTGTCGAATTATTTTTTTATTTGATTCATTGGGTGGTTTGACAAGTTCTAAGGGCATCAACAAGATATTTCCCCCTTCCCGCGTTATTTCAGAATGTTCATCTAAATTTCTCAACTTGTCAGCATCTGTAGTAATTCCAGTATCAAAAGAACTTCCATAAGAAGACAATAGATGGAAGATGGATCTCCCCAAGAAATCTGTTTGGGAAAAATTACTTATTTCATCAATTAATTTCATGACTTTACCATCTTCTTTGTTAACGATGGCGGAATGTAGTGGTAATTTTTTTGTTACCATGTTGTCGATAAACAATCGGATTGTAGTTAGCTCTTTCAAAAACAACATTCGAAAAATGTTGGTTATATTAAAAGGCGTGCATCCACTTAACTGCTTCTTCACTGTATGTAATATCCAACGCGCGGCTAGAAATTCAGCATACGTCATATGACTAAAAATTGGTATATGATTTTCTACAAATCCTGTGATAAAGAAATCTTTGGGATAATCATTTCTAAAAATACGTACATCTTCGTTAAATTCTTCCATGTCGAAGACATTTTTTAAAGCATCATCCTTAAAGAATACCTTCAGAGCCAGTTTAGATATAGTTCTGATATACCATTCTTTCCGTACTCCGTAATCATTATCGACTTTTAAATTTATAAACTTTTCGAATATGTCGTGAACGTGCCACTTATGTTCTTTCAAATTGTTCTCCGGATTCAAAAATATTTCCGTTAACATCATGATTTGTTGGCACGTACCTATAAAAGAATCCTCGAGCAAATGCCTTATGGTTTCTATTGCCGTCATAATAACTTTAATGTCATTTTCATTTTTATTCTTATGTGTTAGGTACTTCTGGACAAATTTTGTTTGATCTGTCTTATCAAATTCAGCAAGTTGCATGGAAAATACTCCGAAAAAGCTTTCAAACTCCACTTTTAAGTAGGGTCTAGCTACAATCCAAATATTAAATCCCTCTTTACTTGCTAATTTAAATAGATCCAATAAACCTGGCTCGCTTACTTCTTCGTAGTCGTCTATCAACCATATGATTTGTTCCTTCAGGTGCTTATAAAGTGGTTTAAGAAAAGTATGGAAAGATTCACTTAGGTCATCAGTTTGACAATTGTAGGAGAAGTCAATGAGATCCTCTACTGTTTTAAGGTTCTTGACTCTGGCACTATATTTTTTTAGATCCATGTGAATGACCCACTGGTTCGATAGTAACTCCGAATTTATAAAACTCAGAAATGTGGATTTTCCCATACCGGCGTTATTACAGATTATATTTATATTACATTTTTTGTAGATGTTCATAATGTCTGTGTCTTTTGCAAGATGGCATGTTAAATATGGTCTTAGAATTTCGATTGAAGCATTAGTCTGCATTAACAGAAAACAATCATGTTTTATATACTTAAGTATGAAGTATGTACGATTAGAGAAGAGACGTTCTAACAAATTTGTTAACGCCATATCATATTCAGTTGAAGTTTTAATAATGTGATGAGGTTTTTCGTACAACTCATCATAGGATTGAATGAGGTGAATGACGTCTATACATCTATGGTTTTTTATTTTTGCTTTCGAAGGAAAACTGTATATAAAAAATATATATTCATCCTCATTAAAAACCTTGCTATTTATTACTGGAACATTTATGTGGCGGTTTATGTAGTATATTGGCAAATCATTCACTTTGCCAATTACACATTTTTTAGTTAATAAATCAATATAGCTATCAACTGATATTTCCTGTTTAATGGTGCTGCAGTTTTTTATTAAACCATATAAATCAATAGCAGTTTTGTCCTGCAATGAAATCATCAGTTTTCTTGAATGGTTAAAGTATAATTCTTCCTCCATGTCTCTAAAGTTTTGAAATACTTTTATTGTGTCAAGAAAGGCGAGTCTTTGTTTATCGGCATTGAAAATAACAGAATATATATTAAGCGCAAGTAATATTTTCTTTATGAAACTAGCAAATAATTTGTTAGAGGTTGTAATGAAAAAAGGCACTTTCCGTTGAATAACCATAGATATATACAGGAGTCGAATAGTGGTACGTCCACGATATACTGCAAAAGCCTCACTGTTTATGACGTGCGAAGATAACTTTTCTTCTACATGTTGGGGTGCAAGCTGATCCCAATCTTTAAATTCCATTGATAAATCGCTGTAAAAATTTTGTATTTCATGAAAAATTTCGTTCCACATCAACACTGAAGAAGTTTCTTGGGCAATCACTGTCGCATCGAATTTACAGACTATATTGTTTAAAATTGATTCATCAATCTTTTCAAGAGAACGGGGTGGAACAAAGTCCCCAAAAAGTATATCCAGCAATTTCACTTTAACATTAACTTTGTAAAGTTTGTTAACATAATAACCATCCTTTTTATCCCAAGCGAGAAAAAAATTTACAATAACTTCTACGGTCTCATCATTTACTCCTAGTAAACTTCCAATTTCATTATCTATTGACTCAGCATCTAATTGTTCTGTGTAAAAGTAAAATTGGTCTAAAAAGTTTTGGTCATATTTTCCACATTTATTGGTAATTTTTAATACGCTTTCTTGGTTTAATGAAGTGTTAATAAACCTTTCTGGTTTTTTAGAACAAAAACCTATATTTTCACTTACTATCTCTTGGTTGACCGTACAATTGTTAAAGAGTATGAAAAAGATTTCCGTTTCGCTGGAAATTTCGTGCATGTCAAAAAAATTTTTATTTTGCATGATTTTGAAAAAGGCTTCTTCATACAACTTCAAGCCCAGACTTTTGTCAGTTCCGTCTAGTTTTTCTGCTACTACGGGACGTATTTTTTCCTCATCTTTGTGTTTTATTTGCATCATAAACAAATTTTCCTTTCCATTGCAGTGTTCCGTTAAAAGAATTATGTCGTCGAATTTGTCGACTTCCCGTGTATTAGAAAGAATCCAGAAATCCTTTATATCTTCGTCTAAAAAGCATTTTAAAGCGACTAAAGCAAGCACCTTCCTTTCGTATTCCTTCCCATGTATTCCTGATTCAATCCTCTTTTTTGATCTCTGAAATCAGTTAATATTAGAAAGAAAGAAAAAATGCCTAAAGGTCTAATGCCGTACAAAAATAGCAATACCGGCAGCCAGGAAATATTTGGACTTTGAACTGGGATTTAATTTCTGTACGGCAACCACTTTTTTGATAAAATATAACCAAAAACTATCGTACTAAATCATGGCCGGTTATAATTAATAGTACAAATTAAAAAAAAACAATTAAATAAATTTTGAAAATTCCTTATTATAAACTAAAAAGGTTACATTCAAAATATTATGGCTGTAATTGACTTTTCATAAGTAAAAAAAACAATACCGTACATTTTTAACTAGTGAATTTTACATAATTGATAATATTTTTCCTTAAATTTTTACTACATTTTTAGGCCATTAATAACTATACGACATTTACAAATTTTCACCATCAAATATAATATAAAGAATGAAAATTGCAATACCGTACATATTTGTTGGAACAATTCTCCGACACTGCATAAGTTTTAAGTTAAATGAGTTTTATCCTAATTTCAAGAGAAATTTAATTTATACCGTCGAAATTATGGCATTATCTTTAAGATTAAAAAAAATTGTGTATAGAGAATCGAGAAAATATTTTGAGAAATTTAGAAATTTAATAACGTGCAAGAAAGTATTATTTTTAAATAAATATAATAATAAACAATTAATTTTAACTCNCATTGATATAAATTCTATTTGTAGTTTTAGTATCACTATCAATCTTTCCATTCGAATTTATTAAATTATTATTTTATTCTTAACTTTTATGACTGTAAAAGTCGAAATCAGTAAATGTTACAGACCTAAAACTTATTCAGAAGTGCATCTTCCATTTAAAAGACTATAGTAGTAATATTAATAGCCCTGAAAAAGTTATTGGTGTATGGTAAAATTGTTTTAAAATATTTGGTAGATTCTAATTTAAGTCTATTAGATATTAATTAAGCTGTTATTTCTTCAGGTAAAGACGTAAAGAAGAGGTGTACTCAGAGTTACACATAGGGAAGTGGCGGCAGAGACGGTCACAGGGACAAAACCGATGAATTTGTCACCTTTTAGGTAGACATCGAATCCCTCATATAATGCTATTATCAACTTGAAAGGTATTTGTTTAAAATTTAAATATCGGTGAAAAGTAAATTACTTGAGTAATCAATTTATATCTGGAGTATTTTTGTGTAACTTGCAAATAATAACAAAAATAAAACAAAAATAAGTTATTCAAACTCTGATGAATTTCAAAATAACGAACAAATCGTTAACGGAAACTACAAAATATCTTCATGATGCACTGGACTAACATTTTAATGATTTTAAAAGTAAGAGATGCACATATTTTTAATGTAATAATGCTGCCTGCTGTACACTTCAGTCGAATTAAATTTTGAACGTAAAAAAGTTATTAGTATATATTTTATTACACTTTATGATGGGGTATGTAGATAATAATGATAATATCAAAAAAACTAACTCGAAAGAAGTTAAAAAATAGAAAATAAGCGACAAAATTACGTGTTTTTAAATTTTTTTTACTGTCCATGAAAATCTAAACAACCTATCGGAAAATTAGTTATTTTATGTTGCAGGCAATTAAAGTACCTACAATTTAAGATACCTGAAGTCATATTTCACCAATTTGTTAACTGTGAAATAAAGGTCCAACGCAGAAAAATTGGTTTTCGAAAGGCACTGCAAAAACCGATGGATGCAAAAAGAGCAAATTTCCGAGCAGCTTTTGCCTGATCCTGGGACATTTTATTTATAACGCTGTTTTGTACATCTTACTTTGTTAGTTGTAAAGAGCCACTTAATTTCAATTCTTTGATTTTTTTTCTTTTTCGATACGTTTCTTTGGATCAATTCGAACCTATATCTACGATATTATCTAGATCTAGAGCAACAATTTTAAGATTGACTGTCTTTTCCATAAATTTTATCAACATCTACCACTTTTTGCAATAATAATGCACTGCGTTCGACCTTTATTTTACAGTTGACAAATAATAATAATAATAATAATAATAATAATAATTGCTTTATTGCCCAACAGAGATTCCATTTACAGGGCAAATACAGAAGTAAAAATAAATAAAAAATAAAAAAAAACGGAGTTAAATTTATCAAAGCAGAATGTCTAAAAAAGAAAGAAAATATATAATCCAAGTCATAATTTAAACCAATTATGAATACATATATGGGTTATAAATTAAGGTAAAACATCATCATTCAAATTCCGAACAGCTACTTGTATAAGTTCCCTCAGTGTACATGCATTAATATCACAGAGGTGACTAAGTCTATTGTAATTATTACACATCACAAAAATGGGCGATTTAAATAGCAAGTTTGTCTTGGGTGCACAACAATAAAAAGTCACAGTATGTCTAATCGATGACCTAGGCACAGCAAAATTTAATTGACTCAATAGATCACAGCAATCTATTTGGCCATGTAAGAGTTTGTATAAAATAGAAAGTGTAGCACATTTGTGCCTTAAATTTAGACTAATTAAATTGAACCTATTTTTTAACAGGCTATAAGCTACACCTCTTTCAGGATAAACACCATCAATTTTATATACTAGATATTTCAAAAATTTCCTTTGGATCGATTCAATATCAACTTTGTAACATCTATAGAATGGATACCAAATCACATAACCATACTCAAGTTTGGAACGCACATAAGAGTAGTATAGTATTTTCAAAGCATCAATGTTAGTAAACGTTCTACAATTTCTAACTATAAATCCATACATTTTCATTGCTTCACCGATTTTCAAGGAAATATGTTGGTTGAATGATAGTTCATGGTCAAACAGAATGCCAAGATCCTTATAAGAGTCGGCACGATTCAAAACAATGTTTTCTAATTTGTAATCATAATAAAGAATACATTTCTTTCTGCTATATGAAACAATTTTACACTTAGAAGAATTCAGGTACAATTGATTTTCATTACACCATATCAATAACTTGTTAAGGTCATTTTGTATCTCTATACAATCCTCAACACTATTAATATCTCTATAAATCTTCAAATCATCAGCAAAAAATAGTTTATGACAATCAAGGACATGACTCAAATCATTTATGAAGAGTAAAAATAGCAAAGGGCCAAGGTTAGATCCTTGAGGCACGCCTGACGTTGTTAAATATGCCGGGGATTTAAAGCCATTATACTCAACATATTGTTCCCTTTGCTTT